TCTCCCAGCAGCCCGCTCTTCTGGGTGAAGATGCCATGCTCTACACTGTTTATCCTGCTTCTGCTGGAAATTGCTCCTTCTGAGGCAGAGGTGAATGCCTGCTATCAGGTTTGTGGCCCAGGCCATCAGGGTTACAGCTTAAATACAGGTTTTGCGTTAATTCTACTGATGTTTGCTTGGTGTGTTTTGGTAGTGCTCCTCTAAACAGCTCTGCTGGCAGAACGGTGGGAGAGGCAGCTCTTCCTGGGGACAGTTCTCTGCCACCCTGCTATGGCAGGCTCCCAGCATATAAAAAAGTACCAATATGGACATGTAATTGGGATAAACTTGAAATGAGAGCAACGCAACACTCTTGCATGCTTTCAGCCTCCCATTTACTGCCAAAGCATTGGCTAATGTAAAGGAATAAAAGCATCTAATTTTTCAGCTGTCAAAATTTAGCTGTATTGGCATCTGTAGAGAGAAACTTGATGTGAACAGCTTAAGCAAGCTGTGGAAGTGGAGATCCAATTGGGAGATGGAAGAAACAGCAGAGCAGCTTTTGTAGGATCTTGTTATTGATCTGTGCCCATTACACTTGGGCTGATGTCTAACATTACAATATGCTAATGTGAAGTAATGGAGTGTTATTCACAAAGGAACAAGTTAGCACTCACGATTCTATCTCTACCTTCAACTGCGGAAAACAAAATACTCGGTCTGAAAATATCTCAACTTTAAAGAGGAAGGAGGAAACAAGAAACTCCAGGTGTCTTTCCTACTTGGTGTAGTACGTACTGATCAAAACCCTCATAGGAGTATTTGCTGTAATATGCAAAGACAAACGCTTATTAAAGGCCCTTTTCCAGCTTGAAGTCAGATGTTCTTTACCCTTGGAAACATAATTCTCTGGAATTTGGCAGTGGGTTGGGAATTAAGAGCAGTGCCAGCTCCAGTCCTGTGGATTTGTCTCTTATGCTGTTTCAACATACGAGTATCTGCAGAGGGAACGGTTTCGTAAGTCCAGTTGACAACCTTTGTCCACTCAGGAGTATTCCTTCAGCTTTTGACGCGTGGAATTGCACTGTCTGCTACATCAGTACTGAGAAGATTCCGGTGTCCTGGGCAGTCTCAAAGGTGAGAGCTGCAAGTAATTATATTCAGCAGCAGCTCTGGTGTGTTTTAGGATGGCATTCTGCTTCGAGCAGCATTCGAGAAGGCAGTGTTGAATTTTCCTGATAGCAGTAGTTGTGGTAGTTAATATTTTCTAAATATTATCCATAGGCTTGTGCTTGGATTTACATTTATTTGAAGGTTTGAGGGTGCTAGTTAAATGGGATTAATTTTAACTACAGGGGGCCTTATTGCTTTATTTGTTATTATATAAAAGATATATGCTCTTTGGGGCAGTTAATGGGACTACAGTGAGTAGGAAACTAGAAGTTAGTGACTGATTGAAGATACTGTTTGTTCTCTTGGCCTTAACGATACTGAGATCATGCTTGTCTGACAATGTGAACGGCACAGTTTGCAGTGAGCCCTGAGATTGACCAGAAATGCTAGAGCTGCTGTGGTGGAAGTTAGGTGGTGTTTCAAGTTACTGATCCATTTCTGTGGCTAAGGTGAAGCAGTGGCACATGGGAGGTAGTGAGGTAACAGTACAAATGGTCCTTGGGAGTGATGTTGAGCAGTATTGGTGTTTACAGCAAGGGCTGTCTACACTGGCAGTTGAATCGTCGTCCTGCAGTTCTCCTGCTGGCTGCCAGTCATTCTGCACTCGTCTGTCTTCCAAAACATCCTGGAACTGTAGCATCTGGCTCGCGGAGCATGTCAGAGTAACACTCAAAAAGGCATTCAGCTTAAAAAGCTGCCTTTGCACGGGCAATTTCTTTTTCCTGCCGTGTTTAATTGTGCAGCTTCACCAGTCAGAAGGGTGGTGGGAGCACTGGGCACAGTGCTGCTGGGGTGGTTTTGTCTCTTCTGTTTTGTGTTGAGAGCAACTATGTTAAGATACTAAGGAAAAAAAAAAAGTAGATTCACCTCCACGGAGAAGTGCTGTTATGTAGAAGGCCGAGGTGTGACCAGTGGTGTGCCTGTTGCTGGGCTGATGGCCAGGAAGGGATGAAGGCAGCTGGCCTATGGTCTGTCTGTGTGATGCTCAGTAAGTCTTGCAGAGGCCACAGTGATTCAGTGCTCAGTAAATGCTTGTTGATGGTTCTCTGTGGCTGTTACTTTGGTGCTGCTTTCTGACCTAAAACTGCTAAAGCATTTTGCATAATTTAAAAAGGAAGGGATGATCAGTCATGAAGCCCTGTTATTAGTGCTCAGAGGTAATCCAGATGTCTAGAGACAAAGGTGTGAACAAGTTTCTGAATCTTGTAAATTTTGCAAACACCAGCAGAATTTCCAGGATGTTTAGGAATGGTGATCAGATTTTCAAGGCTTCGAGATGCGTTGTGACTCCATTGTAAAATCAAACTGAGTAAATTGCAAGTGCCTTTTAAGATGTCCTAAAAGGACAATGAAGTGCCTTCTGAAGGAGTTTGGGGTGGGGGAAAAAAAAGAGGGGGGAAAAAAAAAAAGAATATAAAACCTAAATTTTACTCAGTGAAGCACATCTTTAAACGTAAACTAAAACACTAAATGATGAAGCTGAGTGATAAATGACAATGTTCTGGCAGCGACAGCTGAGCTTGCTGAGCTGCATTTTCTATGTAATTAGTGTTTTCTTGCAAGGTGTGCTGCAAACTTACTTTTTAATAAGTATTTCTACACTACTGGGCAGTGACTTGAAGTGCTTTTTTCCTAGTGACTGTGATCACACAGCTAATGTCAGCAGTGCTGTGAGTGGTCTGGTTCCGTACGGCAGAACGAAGCGGGTTTTGCTCAGTAGGCTGGGGAGAAGGTAGAGGTCTATGGAGACTTCATGAGAAAGAAGCTAAAAAAATGCTCAAAAGTGTGAACAGAGCACAGGGATTGAATAGGCCTTTGTCCACAGAGTGACTCGGGTGGAAATAGTGTGTGGAGTGTCTGAGTTGGGGCAGGCCAAGGGAATTCTTCTCCAGTGGAAAAAACCCAGCAGTTCAACTTCGTTCTTAAATGGTCAACTTGTCAAGACTGCCTCAGGGGCTTTTAAATGAAGCAAGAAATGAGAGGGGGATGATGAGTGGAATTAGACAGGATTGCTGACAATGGCTTGGATCACAAGGTGTAATCAAAACCTCACACAGGGATTTATATCAGTACACTGCTCTCTGCTTGCAGTTGTCAGCTGCCTCCTACAGGAAATCTCTGCTGTCAATGGACACAGGCAGTGTAAGTTCCACGCCTTTTGCCAAACTCCTGTGTGCCTGAGACCTTGCTGGGTGCCACAGCGCCGGGCATGTGGGACGGGTGAAGCAGAGCTCCTGTAGCTCAGTGCCCGTGGGCTCTGCCTGCCCCAGGGAGAGCAGCCTGCCTCCTCCCCGGGAGCTGCCCCTCACTAGGGTTAGTTACCCCAGCTGGCCAGGACAGCTCTAGGGAGAAATCTGCCTGGTGGGAACATGGAGCATTAACAGTCTGTGGAGGTCCCTTGTCAAGAATGACCTTGCTGGAGAATTGTCATGTTTCAAAAATCTTCTTAGATCAGCAGCATGTTTTCTATGTTGAATTTGTTACACTGCTTGTGACTATCATTATTGCTTATGTCATCTTGCATCTGAGCTGAGTAACGGTTTCTGAAGGTATAACCCTTTTCTCAGCTTTCTGGAGCCCGGTTATAAAATAAACCCTTCTATTCCTTTTAAAATAGCAGTAGTTTTCTTCAGAATTGACGCACTGTTGATGCTGTCTCCTGTAACGATCTCTCCCTGACCAGCTCAAAGGACAGTTAGGGCAGCACTGCACACTTGTGGCTCTGCTTTCCTGCAGGTGCTTCGGCCCTGCGGCGGTGGGTGCAGTACAGCCCCAAGACCTCTGCTCAAGCACCTTACAGCGAGTGGTGCAAGGAGATGGGTTTGTGCACCACGACAGGGACGTTCACTTTGGCAGAGATGTCTCTGGGAGGTGCTGACGTGGCTTCCTGTAATAACAAATAGTGTTGTTTGACCTCTTGTGCAGAAGTTCTGATTGGCATGAGGTTAAAATCTGCCTTCCCGCACACAGATGTGAGAGCCCAGTGGCTTTGAGGTCTGCTGGTGTGACAGGATTATGTTTTGGGTCCTGTCTGCATTGGACTGGATTTTGTTTGGGTGGCTTTTTAATATAGAATCCCCTGTGATGCTGGAAACCTCTAGTGAGCCTTCACTAGTGCCTGGCTTGCTTTGGGTTTTATCTCTGTGCTTGGAGCAAGCTGGGTAGTGGTCATCCTGGGTTTTCAGAATCCTTTGCTTGTCTTTTAAGTTGATGATTTCTTTGAGATGTTTGAAGGCATCAGCCTGGAGTACCCTTCCAGAGTGAAATTTGTGGGTAGTGTTGTGCTGGACTCCTGACTGGGCTGAGTGCAGCTGTAACAGACCTTGGGCACTGCTGGGATCTGGCTCGTGTGGGAAGAGTGCAAAGGCTTGTTTGTGGCCTCTTGTGTGTTTATGGATTTGGGTTGGCTCAGGCTGCCCTGCTCTTAAGCTGAGGCAATACAGTAACGTGTTGTAACTCCTGTCTATGCCTTGGTCATAAAGAACAGTAAAAATACCATGCTGCCTGGCACTCACCTGCTTTTATTCTTCTTCTTTAGGACTTGACTGGCATAGAGTCCATGGACCAATGTCGTCACACGCTGGAGCAGCACAACTGGAACATAGAGGTACCACTGCAAATAAGAGTTGTAGCAGTTTCAGAGTACCTGGATTAAACAGAGTACTCTGCAGAAAGGAGCAGAGGGAAGCCTACCAGTAAGATTTAATTTGTCAGCCCCTGAATTTACACTAGTAGCTCTTTGACAGTGTCTTGATACATCTGGAGAGCTGTTTTTGGTGATACGGTGAAGTTGTTCTGGCTGTGAAGAGCCACCTGACTGGCAGACTGTAGTGCACGTGTGCAGGCTGCTGTGGAGCAAGCTTTCTGTACAGAAACCAATATTGGTGGTCATGGTTTGTGCTGAGCTGTACACTGGGGCTGTGGAAAAATACCTACTGGTAGTGTCTAAAGTATAAAAAAAATTTTCTGCAATCCTTAAACATCTGTAACCTCCCTTTGCTCATTCTTGTGTCAAAGGCAGCTGTACAGGACCGACTGAATGAGCAAGAGGGTGTCCCAAGTGTCTTCAATCCTCCTCCATCACGGCCGTTGCAGGTCAATACAGCAGACCACAGGATCTACAGCTACGTTGTCTCAAGGCCACAGCCAAGGGCAAGTTACCTTACACTGGATTCTGTCCTGCTTCTTGGATGCTTAGTGAAAAACGATCTGCAAACAGGAAAATGAATTGTTTTCTTTGTATGCTGTTATCTCCTTTCTGATCTAATTATTTTATCTTCTGAAACAAAATGTAAAATTCCTGTGGCACCTATTACTACTGTGGTTGTTTTCTCCATGGGTTGATTCACAACAGAAGGCAACCTCCTTTGTGTCATAGAATGTCTTGCTCTGGCATAGTAAAGGGTTTTGATGAGTTCATTTGGAACAAAGGACTGTCCCATCCTTATGTCAGAGTCATATGTTTTTCATTTTGTAGTCCCCCAAAAATATGCATTGACTTGAATACGGTATCAATGACTTGCACTAATGTTTCACAAACAAATTGACGTGAGCACTTGTGGGACTCAGTGCTGTTAATTCCTTTGCACAGTTAAGAAATGAGCAGAGTGAAGGCATTGCTGCTTGAACAGTCAGTGATGCTGTTTTCAGACCTGTCACCTTGAATTCTGAATGAACCATGTTAATCACTTGACATGTCTGAAGCCAGGAAATTTAACTCAAATATTGCTGAGCTCTTCTGCAGTGGTTACAGCCCTGATATTCCCATGTGTGGTTGATGCTGGTGGACACTTTGCTTTAGCAGGCCTGTTCCTGGGGTGGAGACTGTGCTAATTAATTGTTTGTAATTGCAGGGTCTGTTAGGATGGGGTTACTACTTCATAATGCTTCCATTCCGATTTACCTATTACACATTACTTGATATATTTAGGTAAGTACCTTTTTGTGCTGACTCACGTGTCGACTGCATCAAGGCACACTCTAGCTGAGCTTCAGCTCTACCTGTCACTTGGAGCTTTGAGTCTAATGGCAGATTTTCCATTTATTTGCTCAGCTGGCTTTATCTGTAGCCTCGTAAAGTTCCTATGCTGTTTAATAAGAAATACATTTTACTGCAGAGCAAAAGAGCATCTTGCAGCTCTGTAAACAAAGTAATTTAATTGGAATTGTACCTCCATGCAGCTTTACAGTTTGAATGCTATGCAAATGGGATGCAAAACGGTGTCAGACTGTCTGGCATTCTTGGATGAACAGCTTGATCAGAATCATATCCCATTGGGCTGGGCTTCAGGTTAACCTGCCCCAGCCCTTGTGTGTTACTTGGGCAAACACCTCTGCTTTTCCCCCTCTGGTGTCTGTTGCCTCTTCTCCCATTACTGCCCCAAATTGCTGCTTCATCTGGCCTCCCCACAGCACTGGTGAAGAGAAAAGGGAGTTTTGAAAGGTGGTAAATACCCAGCAGTCCTGCCATCTGCATTGTTTCAGCAGTTTCCTCTCTTGTATTACTTTTTTTACCCTTGGAGACTTACCAAAGTTCAGAGTTACTTCTGTGCATCAATAGAACTGAACATCATTGGTACTTGCCTGGCAGTTAAGCTTTTTCAGCCTCAGAGGGACAACTGTTTCTTCTGTCTTCTTTGGACTCCTAGTGCAATGTTTTCTTTCTGCAACTCTTTGTGCTCTGGAATTGTTAGGCTTGGAATAGCAGAAATGCAGTTTTCAAAGTTATCTGGACAAAACTCTGTGGCTTTTAACAGCCTGTCTGACTAAATTCCTCAAACCTCATGCTGCTGGTGTGGCTTATGCCTGATGCTTCAGAGGAAGTCAAAACTGCTAATCACACAGAATTCAGATACTTGCTGATGCCTGGCATGAGATAACAGTTGATTGGGGGGGTTGTGTAGCAACGGTATCAGTTTGGAGCAGGTGGCAGTTTAGGTTGTGATTATAAATGTTCAAGGGTCTCAGCTCTAATTTTTTTCCTTATGAATACTGGTGACTGGAAAAGAAAATCTGTTCTTCACAAAGTCAGCAAGCTGAATTTCCAGCATCCTTTGCTTCCTTCCTAGGTTTGCTCTACGCTTCATACGCCCTGATCCTCGTAGTCGGGTCACTGACCCAGTGGGTGACATTATTTCATTTATTCATATGTTTGAGGAAAAATATGGGAGGATACACCCTGTCTTCTACCAGGGAACATACAGCCAGGTCAGTGTCACCTCTTGGTGTGTAAATGCTGGGGAGATGGAGTGGGGATTTTGCCAGGTGGTATCAGGGCAAAATCACTTTTCATCTGAAAGCCCAGCATTTGTCCCCAAACTCTCTAACAGGGTAATGGAGAGCTGGTGAACAAGCAGATTGGAAAACCAGTGTCTGCCAGGCTTGATGATATGCCAAGCCTGCCAAGTTGGAAAGCAAAGCTGCTCTGACTGTTCCTCGACCGTCTGTATGGCTCTGTAGCCAACAGCTATTCTTTGTAGTCCTGCCTTTGTTTTTATAAATTGATGTGGTATGCCAGAGTCTGTCCTTCTGTTCACCAAACTGGGATTGACTGCCTGGGTTTGTATTATAATGCAAATCCAGAACTTGGTGCTGCACCTTAAAACTGAGAGGGAGCTCCTGAAGAAATTCTGGGAGGTGAGATTTCCATATGTTAGATCTGAGCTGATGGTGCTCTCTGCAAAAGAGGGATGTCCCAGTGGGTACTGCCTCTTCTGCAGCTTCTCTGAGCCTGGCCTAGTGCAGGGCCTCCTGCAGTGTGTCCCAGCAGACACTTGGATCAGCACTGCTTCCCGACTGCCAGAGAAGAATGTGGAGCCTGTATCTGCTCCACGCTGCACAGTGACAGAGCTCACCACCTCCGCAGCTCTTCTGGGCCCCTCTGTCTTCCTGGAATCCACGCTTAAATAACCACCGAATGGTTAGGCTACCAAAACTCGGTGCCAGTAAAACAGGGAGCCTATTGTGCACTTACTCTGTGGTCTTGTTCTCAAATGCTCTTGGGCGGGTGGAATCCAGAGACTGTAGATGCAGAAACTTTTTGTTCTCTTTTGTTGGGGCCTGCAGCATTATTGAGTCATCTTTTTTTGGTAATGTTTTCACTCAATGTGGTCCCAAGACTGTTGCCTGTGCAGTCTAGAGTGGAAAGCTCAGCCTTGGGTGCTGTGGATCTGAGGGTGAAGGAGAGCTGCTCACCCCAGCCAGGCAGGGCAGGGGGTGTGAGTCTGTGCAGTTCCCTGCCTGGCTTTGCTCTTCAGTTTGGTGTTCTCCAAAGCAACGTCCTGAAAGGGGTGTGGAAGAACACCGCTGCTGGCCCCTTAAGTGAGGGTTTAGTCAGGAGGTCTGACAGGTTCATCCTCCACTGCTGCTCCCTTAAATCCACACCAGTGGCAGCGTAATGGCCTGGGTGAATGTTGCTGAGCTGTGTCACGCAGGTCTTGTGGGTGCTGCTTTCCCCTTGCCCAGAGACCCTGTAACTCTTACCTCCTCTGCTCTCATGCCAAGGCACTGAATGATGCCAAGCGGGAGCTGCGCTTCCTGTTGGTTTACCTTCATGGAGATGACCACCAAGACACAGATGAATTCTGCCGGTAGGTAGGAGAGTTTTCCAAACAGTTACCTCTGCCTTTCCAATGCAGTGTCATTCACACAGTCTTTTCTCATCCCCTAGCAACACACTGTGCGTACCTGAGGTGATCACCCTCATAAACACTAGAATGCTCTTCTGGGCTTGCTCAACCAATAAACCAGAGGGATACAGAGGTGAGTGTGTCCCTCATGAGCTTTACCTGTCCCCTCCCCTCTCTCAAACAGGCCAAATGCTCTGACAAATTTATGTGTCTGAGACACACTTTTTTTTTTATGTGTGTGTGCGAGCAGCCAAGATGTTTTGGGATCGTGTGAGGAGCTGCATGTTGGTTTCTGTGCAGTATCTCAGAGGGCCTGGATCCCTGTTTGAGTGCCAGGGTGTCGTTGTTTAACTCCAGCCAGCAACTGAGCACCACACAGCTGCGTGCTCACTTCTCCCCCCTGGCAGTGGGATGGGGAGGAGAATCAGGGAAAAAAGTAAAACTTGTGGGTTGAGACAAGAACAGTTTAACTAAAATAAAATAACAATGTTAGAATAATAATAAAAAGGAATATAACAAAGGTAGAGAGAAAACCCAGGGAGGATAAATGATGCACAGTGCAATTGCTCACCACCTGCTGACTGATCATCACTCATCCCCCCAGTTTATATAATGAGCATGATGATCTGTGGCTAGTTTGAGTCAGCTCTTCTGGCCATGGTCTTCCCCCAGCTTCTTGTGCACCTGCTCACTGGCAGAGCATGGGAAACTTGAACAATCCTGAACTTAGGATAAGCACTACTTAGCAACAACTAAAACGTGTGTTGTCAGCATTCTTCTCACACTAAATCCAAAATACAGCGCTGTACAGGGTACTAGGAAGAAAATTAACTCTCTCCCAGCTGGAACCAGGAGAGAGGGAAGCACCTTCTGCTCTTAACCTCCACTGTTCCCATGTTTCTGGATGGTCCTGGTTGCATGCTCTTTGCTGCAGGCATTGGAGCTGCTTTCAGTGCCTTGTTAATGGGAGCTGCTGGGTGTGTGCTGAGGATGAAGCCAAGTGCAGAAACAGGTATCTAACTAGTTGTGCCCTTACCGCTGGCTTGTGTTAGACCTGAGGCCAGGAGTGACTTGTTAGGTGTGTTCTTTCCCTTTGAGACAGTCATCTTTACAGTCTGTCTCCTCCAGAGTCTACGGTGAGGTCCTTTAAGTACTGTCTTTCCAGAGCTGTCAGTACCTGGCCTGCCAGCATTTTAGTATGGTTTTGCTGCAGATGGGGCCCTTTCCCAAAGTTGTGTTTATGCTTCCTGCATTGCTTCTGGCCCTTGCTGTTTCGTGGTGACAGAGGCTGGGAGTTCTGGTACTAAATCTCGGTTATTCTTGGCTTCATAGTTCAGCTACCAGCTATTGACACCTCAAAAGAATGGCTTTCAAAGGAGATGTTCTTTGACTGACTGCTGCTTCATTGCTGCAATGCTTTGGAGCCGTAGCCTAGAAAGCAGAGCTGGGAAGGATTGTTCCATTTAATCCATGGAGTGCTGTGGTTTAGTTTTGAGGGCTCTGCTGGTAATGATGGCTCCAGGTTGTGTGGTGTGCCATGCATGTTTTGAGGAGGAGGCAGTCAGCAGCCACATGTGAACTGTACCTTAAAAGCCCCTCATCTACTCCATTCCCTGCCTCAAAACAGCCTGCCTCTGGCAGAAACAACCTAATTTTGTTCAGAACTGTCCAGGATGGACATTCTGCTGTCTTCTCCATGTCACTACCTTCCATAGTCTGGCTGTCTTTCATCATCTTAGCAGTGTTTCCTTGTGTTTCTTCTCCTGCAGTTTAAACTGGGGCTTTATGTCCCATTCCAAATGAGTATTTGGAGTAATTTACTTCCTTTGTGAATTAAAGAACCTTTTTGGTGACTTGAAAGCTTGCTTTTTCCCTTCAGTGTCTGTGCTCCCTTTGCTAGTTTACAGGGTTTAGTTTGACAAAATGGAGCCTGCGGCCTTTTCTGCTCCAGAAGAGATAGTGGCTTTCGTAGGCCCTGGGTGATGAAAGCATTTGTGCTGTACCCCTTGCTGACCCTCCTGGATGGATGGGGCATTGTGGTGATGCTGGTGCCCGTTTCCCAGTCTCCCAGGCTCTGCGAGAGAACACGTACCCGTTCCTGGCTGTGATTATGCTGAAGGACCGCAGGATGACGGTCGTTGGGCGGCTAGAAGGCCTCATCCAGGCTGATGACCTCGTTAACCAGCTGATGTTCATCATGGATGCCAACCAGACCTACCTGGTGTCTGAACGCCTGGAAAGGTACGACAGGACCTGAGCTCTGGTAATGCAGACCTTGCAGAGGCAGGCTCTGCTCTGCCCCTTCCTGCCTCCAGACACCATAGCTCAGCAGCTCCTGTTCTGTAACACAGCCCACGGGCTCTCCTCCTCCCAGCGGGATCATTGGTCCATCAGTTCAGGCCATCCATAGCCAGGGAGCGGGATGTCCCACCACAGAAAGGTGGGTCAGTGCTCTGCTGTTTCCTGCAGCTGCAACGCACCCTTAGCTGTTGGAGCTTTGCAGGGGGAGCCTGGACAGTGGTCAGCAGGAGCCATGGCA